ACATAGGGAGCTGGGCTCCCAAACCTGAGTGAGCTGACTGTCACCTGTCATAGGACAATCCCTGATCATATGCTAGGTGGATCCACATCCTAAAGTTAAGGTTTCGTATGTGCCCCAACACACTCCAACATGTCTCCTGCCACACTTGAATGCAAATTGGTAGACCTGGCCATGCAGCACCCCCCCACTAGCAACAGATTAGGCCAGAGGAGCTGATCTCGTAAATATACCCCGACACTGATCTGGCCCGATCTTACCCCCATCTACCTTCCCCCTCTAAATCTCTATGCTACTAGCTACTAGACTGGACCCCTAAAGTCTGTCCAGACGTAGCACTCTGCAATCTCTTATACTGACTGCTCTGCTGGATCCTCTGACCTCTGGCCTGTCTCTTATTCCGAATAATCTCAAGCTCTGAAGCAGCCTTCACCAAACCAGCTAATGTGGTGTGGACCTGGGATGTCAAGTGCATCCTATACTCATCCAGCAACCCCTTCCGGAATCGCTTACACCTATCTGCCTCAGTGGGGACCAACGTTGAAGCATACCTACTCAACCGCAGAAGCTCCCGCTCATACTCGGAGACAGTCATCCGTCCCTGTCTAAGCTCAAGGAACTCTGCTATCCTCTCCTCTGATCCATGTATAACTTCCCCACATATTTCTCCTGAAACGCAGAGAGAAAGAAATCCCGAGTAACATCCTCGGCTCTCGCTGTCTTAACCATAGACTCCCACCATAGGTAAACCTTTTCCTTCAGCAAGGAAACAACACAAATCAATCTATTTGGAGGAGTACACTGCATCTGGTCCAAGATCCTCTTTGTAGCTTGGAGCCAGAATTCTGCTACAGAAGGATCATCATCCCTCCGACCCATAAAATCCTCCGACCCATAAAATCCTCAACACGATAACTCGATACTTCCTCAATCTCTCTACCGGGGACTGAACTGGAACAGTGGCTGGTGCGACTGGAGCCTGGGGAACAGCTCCCGCAGTCTGCCTCAATGCAGCTACCAACTGCTGTACCAAATCACCCTGATTAGGCCCCATAAGACCGGCAGTAGCCTGTCCTACAGCCGAGGCGCGCTCTTCATTGGAACCTAGAATGCCACCAGCGACACCACCGGCTGGCATACCACCCTCTAACATAACACCCTTTGGAGGGGCATAACTGTCCACCTCCTCATCTGGCAGGTGCTGAGACATCACTAAATACCTACAAAGACCAGCAGATTCGCATTAGAGAGAAATTCCCAAGTAGATTCGCATTAGAGAGAAATTCCTAACACAGGCTAATATGGCATGTATTTAACTTAACTCACTTATATCCTTACTCCAAATCGGATACACTCTCATACCAAATCATATATTCTAGAATCGTCTAAACCTATGCTCTGATACCATAAAATGTAACACCTGCCGCCCGATCCCGAAATACCCAACGGTGGATGCCACATTCGGTGCCGAAATCGAGCGGCGGGTGTTACAAGGCTTGTGGGAATTGAAGAACTTAATCAGACAAAAAAATAAAAAATAAAAAAGAGTTGAAAATTGAAAGATGAAACATTAAAAATTTTAGACCACGTTCAAAATATGTCCTAACATTAACAAAATATTGTTTCTTTTCCCTATATCATTGTCTAGGCTCTCTGAATTCAAACCAAGGACGTAAAATTGCAAAAAAATTTTAAATAATTAATGCTCAGTCTTCTTTTTTTAAAAAAAATTATGATGTACCAGATTTATCATTTTTGTTATTGAATTTATTAGTTATATAATTGATAATATCATAATATAATATCATTCAATGTTGGAAAAAGAAAGATTTGTGAGTGATAAGAAAGAGGGTGGGATGTCTCAACGTAGCTAGTAATCAAAACTATAATAGCACACTTTACATCTCTATCATACCAAGTCATTAATATCTAAACTAGCTAGGGACATGAAGTTTGAATAATTAATAATTTTATTAATATATTAAAATTTCAAGATGTAGGCCAAAATCCATCTATAGTGAAATTAATTACCCAACATAATTCGTTTATTATGATGATTATTTTAGTGGGAATGCAACGAATTCTGTAGATTATTATGATGATTATTTTAGTGGGAATGCAACGAATTCTGTAGATCTAGAGTAAATAATCTCTTAATATTCCAAGTTAATTATTTCGTGTACTCTTTAATTGTAATTTTTTAATTAATTGTAATTTGATTAATCGAAACAGAAATGAAAAATTACATCCAAAAGTCAAAATTTCAGTTCAACAGGCTGTAAGGGTGACGCCCATAGAAATAGGTATGGAGCCATTTGTTTCCTCAATAAGTTGATCAGCCAAATGCAATAAGAAAGAATTTCTTGTGTGTCATATACTACAAAATTATTGTCAGATTATATGTTATTGTTGCGTGTTAAATACTTAATTAAACCTTGTAATAATTTTCAGTTCCCGCAGTAATTCTCTAACCATATAGTATAAATCACGTAGCACTTAATTAATTAATTGACATTAATAATTATAATAAGATCAAACGCTAAACCCTAACTCTGATATACACAAAGGAAAAAGGAAAAAAAATTCTGAAATAAATCTTTGATCAAATTGCTTATAGCTATTATTTACAATAAACACAGTAGCCTATTGCAAAGGAAAATCTAATCTCATGAACCAAAAGAATTAATCAGACCTTAAAACATTATTCGCATTCTCTTGCATCAAAAGAGTTCTTCTTGACCATAAAATTAATATTATTTTTCAAATTGGACTTTAAAGTTAGAAATTTTAATTGTTTTAATGAACAAAGTAAGATTTTGGGCTCAAAAATAAAGAGATTCAAAAATTAAAAATCAGTAGACTGAGTTTTTAAGAGGCCCATATTTTGAGAAAACCCAGAATTTGATTCAAATCACACTAATTACCAGTTTGGTTCACCGATTGTCATCGGTTTACATTGACTTTTGAAGCTACAGATTTTATTATCCAATATCGATCAGACTCTGGTTGAACCGGCCAAACCGGTCAGGTTTTCAGAACAATGATTTCTAATTAAGAAATTACATAAAATTCTATGAGATTCATTTCACCTGATTTTATCGCACAATTTCAAATGATTTTATCACATAAGATTAATTTAACTTGAATAAGACCTAATTATTGTTGAATATTTTTAATAGATTTTTACCTATCATTAAGCTTGTTACATTCCTAATCTAAGCCATTTTTTTATGGAAAGATTAGTTGTAAATCCAACCATAATTAGAAAGCTAAAGAATGCATTTGCTAATCCTCTCTTGGTTATGAAACCAAATACCTAAATTAATAATTTTATAATTTTAAATTTGTGGTACACATTATTACCATAATTTTCTCAATTTGCGTTGGTTATTACCCTATAATTGGTTATTCATTAATTATAAATACTGTAAAGATTATCTCATTTTATTGTAGTTCTCTTTAATATTCATAGGCTTTGTTTGGGAAGGAGAGGAAAGAAAATATTGAAGGAAGTGCAGATCTTTCTTCCTTTGATATTTTCTGCACTTCCTTCAATATTAAAGGAAGGGATAATCCTTCCCATTGATTTTCCCTTCACATATTTTCATTCTTCCAAAATAATCCTCCTTTCCGAACAAAGGGTTAACACATGAATATGAAGAAATTTTATTCTATTTGCATGCACTTGGAAATATTTGCTTGCATATGGTTACTAAATGTAATGCAAGTGAGTTTTTGTTCTCCACTCAATTTTTCTCACAGGTAGGAATTTGCTTATTTCAATTAAAAAATTATTTTACATATCTTAATTAGATTTTTCTTTAGAGTTAACATTTTCTCTCTTTGTAGGAAAATTTTGAGCAGCAACTTTTCCTCTGGAGTCATACTGCATGAAGAGTCTAATTTTGTAATTATGAATTCTTAAATTTCTTTTCTTTTTTTAAAAAACCGATTATTTTTCACGCATATGTATAACAATTGTAAATCTTTTTTTAGGTGGTGATCGATAATGGAATTGTTCAAGTCACTCTATCCAAGCCAGGTGGTTTTGTCACTGGAATAAAATATAATTGATCGATAATGGAATTGTTCAAGTCACTCTATCCAAGCCAGGTGGTTTTGTCACTGGAATAAAATATAATGGAGTTGAAAATATACTAGAAACTAAAAGGAAGGAAAATGATCGTGGGTATGCATTTATACTTATCATTTTGGTTAAAACATTTTTAAACTTTTATTAATATATCTTAATAAGGTCGAGAGTTCAAATTTTATAGATAGACTAAATACTGGCTGAAAATGTTCTATCCATCAGTGGACGGTCGGACATGATCAAGATTTAGTCCTAACCTAGTGGGATGGAAATTTTTGTCGGGTTAATATAAAAGGAAAAAAAAATCTTAACAGTATGTGACAATATTGATAAAATAAACTATTCATTTGTTAGATTACTTACATTTTACAAGATTCAATTCCTTAATTTTATCATACACTAATTATGTCTTAACAAAAATTTAATTCTCTACGCAGCTATTGGGACATTGTTTGGTACAAACCAGGGGCTGAGGACATTTTTGACCAGTAAATTCCCTCTTGAACAAGTAACTACATCTAGAGGACTTATTTACATGTTGCTTCTAAACTTGAATTGTACATGAATAATTTACAGGTTACAAGGAGAAAATTTTAGTGTTATAACACAAAATGAAGACCAAGTGGAAGTTTCTTTCAACAGAAAATGGGACATTTCCATCAAAAATAGCATAGTTCCCCTAAACATCGACAAAAGGTATGATTTTTTCATGATAATGGAGAGAATTGGTAGTAGTGTTAGCACCGGTTTGAAAATCTAATGGAGAGAATTGGATAAAAACAGGTCAGAAAGTTTCAATTTTGTACCAAACAAAAATTGAGAGGCTGAGTTTGATTCCAGATCCTATTTTCTACTGTTTTAACTGGAATCAATTGAAACTATTGATGAAAGCAACAGTTATGAATAAATAAATAAATCACAGAAGATTGAATGGGTCTCATGGTTCTGATTGGAACCAAAATTGATAATCCTAGGACTAGTTTAGAAGATCAATTTCAGTCCTAGTTCTGATTGAATTTTTGTAGGTATATATTGCGGCGTGGGAGCTCAGGATTTTACACATATACTATAATGGAACGTTTAGAAGGGTGGCCTACCGTCAGCATGGATCAAATTAGGATTGTTTTCAAACTACAAAATGAAATGTAACGAAAGTTTTTGTTCTAATTTATGTTTACTATTGAAGCAATTTATGATACATAGATAAGGTCTATAATTTTCAATGATTAGGTTAGGTCTATAATTTTCAATGATTAGGTTCAACTATATGGTGGTATCAGACAACATACAAAAGATCATGCCTACATACCAAGATCGGGAAAATGGTCAAGCTCTAGCATATCCTGAAGCTGTTCTCTTGACCAAAACAAGCAATCCTGAATTGCGTGGAGAGGTATAGGTTTTGGATAGCATGATCATGGTTGGATCTTCAACTCAATTTGATTTCGTTAAAATCACTACCAAACTGTAGTAAACGGTTTTTAATTTCAAATTATAATAGAAATTGTGTATTTACAATTCGATTTTGATTTTTCATTTTTTGAAATCGGAATCGACGTACTTGATTTAAAATCGGCGATTCCATTTGCAACTGTGAAAAAAATATTTTCAAAAAAACTCTCAATTTGCTTTTTCATTTTATTATAATTTTTTAAAATAAATTTGAAGACTTTTTGTTAAATTGGTTTAGAATTTTCAATAGTACTATTCTATTATTATTATTATTATTTATTCAAGATATCATTTAAAAAATAGCTTTAAAAAGTGGAAAATTATTAACTAATTTGATTTTAAATTAGTATGGAAATAAAATCTACGATTCTGAAATCGAAATCAGCGATTCTGAAACAATGTTCATGCTTAATTTTGAATTTTGCTATTTATAACTACATAACCAAACTATATGTTGTAAATAGACATATAGTTTAACCTTGATCTTTAACTTTTACCTTTTTCTTAAACATGTATGAATTCATATATCATGAGTAGGAATTTCTTTAATGTTATGATATAATGGAATATATATTCAGGTGGATGACAAGTATGAATATTCCATGGATCGCAAAGATAGCAAAGTGTATGGCTGGATATCAAAAGATCCGGCAATGGGATTTTGGGTGATCCGACCCAGTGATGAGTTCTGTACAGGTGGACCTTTTAGACAAGAACTAACGGCTCATACTGGTCCATTTCTTTTATCTGTAAGTTTATTACCATAAGCTTATTGATTGAAAAAAGAATTATTTTGAAGTAAAAGCACAAATTAGAATAACATTATTTTACAAATTTCACCGTTAATTCGTGAACTATAATTTTGACATTATTGAAAATAACGAAACCTAAAATCAGGTTTATAACTAATATTTTAAATATGATTTTTACGCACATGCAGATGTTTACTAGTTCTCATTATTTGGGGGAAAATACAAAATATGAAGAGCCATGGAATATGGTTTTTGGACCTGTTTTTATTTATCTTAATTCCAACTCAACTGCTGATGACCAAGCACTTTGGAATGATGCTAAAAGACAGGTAGATTATTAACCCATGACATTTTTTTTGAACTGAATGAAAATATTTATTACGAACCGAATGAATATTTAATAATTTTTTATTTTTAACTTCATTATCTCAAATTTTTTTTTTTTTTTTTTTTTTCTCAAATTTTTAATTTTTTTTTTTTTTTTTTTTGCTCAAATATGTCAACAATTAGATGTCAGTGGAAGTTGAAAGTTGGCCATACAATTTTACTCAATCAGAAGATTTTCCTTATTCTGATAAACGAGGAACTGTCTCAGGGCAAATAACAATGCAAAATGAGTATGTCATAAGCTTTTTATTTGTTATTATTCTTTCATTAATACTAACAATCTTTGAATACTGCAATAACAAATACCTTTACTAATTCAAACTTTTATACTATTAATTAGAGGGGATTCCAAATTGGCAAGTTTTGCTTATGTGGGCTTGGCAGCTCCAGGAGATGTAGATTCATGGCAATTTGAGACCAAGGTTAACCCTGCATATCCTTTATCTCTTCTAATTATCTATGAAGCGAAAATTGGAAAATCTTACTTCCGTTACTAATTAACTATTTTATATATTTTTTCTTTTATTATTTTCTTTTAGGGTTATCAATTCTGGACTCAAGCAAATAATGAGGGGTCTTTCACGATTGAAAATATCCGAGTTGGAACTTACAATTTGTATGCATGGGTTCCTGGATTTGTTGGAAATTACAAGTATGGTGAGAACATCACCATTACACCAGGTACCCTCTGCTTTCCTTTTTCCTTTATCTTTTCTTTTTTTTTTTTTTTTTTTTTTTTTTTTAGACCGAAAGAAATCATGACAGAGGGTACAGTTTTCACTATTGAAAATCATAGCAACGTAGATATGGGAACTTACAAATTATAGTGATGAATCAGTATGTGTATCCTAAGAGAATGTTGTGCTGCAGTTAAATACCAGAGTAATGCGTCGGAGAGCTCGATCACCATTACCAACCAGTTAACCCTCCTGTCTTTATTGCGCTTTATGTTCCCTTATCATCAATTCTCTTTATTGTTTAATTTAATCATTTAATTCTTATTTTTGTCTGCTGGCTTGATTCTAAAACTAATGTAGAGATTTTAATAGATTCAAACCTTATTGATCCAGTATACGATGAATTTCACTTTTAATGTGCTACATGAAGCGAATCATATTAGAATAGGGCAGTTCGGCGAGCAGTTAACTACTTGACATCCACTCCTGAAGATAACTGGCTGCCAAGCCACCTAGTGGGGAAATAATATAGGGGTATACCCGATACGACTCTACGTGCTAATATATCAATATAAAGATAGCTCGGATACTAACTCAGAGACCAACACTTTGACTTAGTTTTATCAATTATTATTCTTATTTTCATACAACAATATCCATATATGAGTATATAGTAGCTTCTCTACCTATATCAATCTCAAAATACAAAATTGCCAAAAATCTTGCACAGTAAATAATATTTATATTCACTAACAATAACTTGTTTTACTCAATGTGTTGAGGTTTTCGCAATATGGAATTAATGGGATAGATACACTGACTTATTATATCCTACTATTAAGATCTCAATATACATATTGTTTGCATCTTCACGCAGAAACATGCAGTCGAGATTGGTTTTTGATCTTCGATGTTCCGAGAGGTGGACCTTTATTATCTCGTTTTTTTTTTTTTTTTTTTTTTTTTTTTTTTTGGCTTTAGTTCTTCAATTTAATTTTAAAAATTAATTTGTAATTAATTTCTTAATGCAGGAAGCAATATTAAATTAGGCGTCCTTAACTATGAATCTCCTAGAAATGGGCCAACCATATGGGAAATAGGGTATCCCGATCGATCTGCTGCTGAATTCTTTGTGCCGGACCCAGAGCCAACACTTACAAACAAATTATTCATCAACCAACCAAATGAAAAGTTAGCTCTCACCAACAATTATCAATTCCAAATCTTGGCACGTAAATAATATTTTATTCCTTAACATAACTTGTTTTAATGTGTAGGTTTAGGCAATATGGATTATGGGATAGATACACTGACTTATATCCTACAGAAGATCTCATATACAATGTTGGCACTAGTAACTGCAGTCGAGATTGGTTTTTTATTCATGTTCCGAGGTGATTTATCTCGTCATTGATCCAGAATTTTTAAATTAAAGACATTACAATCCTGAAGACAACTGTAATATTTCTGGACCAAAACTTGTTGGTCTAGATCTAATATATATTGTTCTTTGCATTGTAGAAATACTGGAAAAAGTGCGTACGAACCAACCACATGGCAAATAACTTTCGAGCTCAAAACTGTGATTCGAACTGGAAATTACACATTGCAATTAGCTTTAGCATCTGCAACCGAAGCTGAGATACAGGTATTTTAAATCCTCTCTTATTATTACTTGCAAACTTTTGCTAAAGGGGAACTTAATTTAAACTTT